TTTTTAGAACCGAGGATTGAACTCAGGTCCTTGCGCTTGCCAGGGAAGCGCCTATTTCACTGAGCCATCTCCCCGGCCCCTGGTCTTGTACTCTTGCGGGCCCACAGCATCTGGATATTCTAGAATGCAGATAAAACACCGATGGAGAACTTTCTGAGTAACCTCAGGCAGCGCTACTAAAATAACTTCCCAAGGCCAGGGAGACAGCTCAGTGGAATAAGTGCATGCCTGGCAAGCGCAAGGTCCTGAGTTCAATCCCTGGTACCACAAAAAATAAGATAAAACAAAATACAATAAAATAACTTCCCAAGAGACAGGGCTGAGTCATTTGCCCTGGGCCGCACCCAGAAACAATGGCACCCCAGTATGAATTTACCTGATGCCCCATCCACAGGCACATTCTTCACAAAAATTTTCAAAAGAGTTACAACACCTCTACTAAAAACCTCCTAAAATAGCCAGGTGTGGTGGCACACACCTGTCACTCCAGTACTCAGGAGCCTGAGGCAGGAGGATTGGTATGAATTCAAGGCCAGCCTGAGCTACATAGTAAATTCAAAGCCAGCCTGGACCATACAGGAAGACCCTGTCTCAAAAACCAAAAGCAACAACCAGACATGGTGGCACATACCTATGATCCCAGCACTCAGGAGGCTGAGGCAGGAGGATCCCTGCAAGTTTGAGGCCAGTCTGGGCTACCTAGTGCATCCAGCCTAAATTACAGAGCAAGATCCATCGAAAAAAGAAAAAAGAAAAAAAAAAAAAAAAAAAAAGAACAAGAAAAAAAAAAGACCAAATTAAAAAAAAAAAAAATCCTCCTAAAATCAAGCATAATAAAACAATGATGGGACCCAACAGTTATCAAGTGCTTATAAAGTTTGAACTATGGAGCCAAAATTCCCTACACTTGCCAGGGATTTTTTTCATGTCATCTTTTCGACAAGTTAAGTACATTTTATTTCCATTTCATAGATGAGGAACCATAGGCTTTGTGGATTGAAAATACATTTCACGATTCCCATAACTATCGAGTAATGAAATTTAACTGAGGCTTGTTTTTATCTGTGGTGTTGTCCGCACATGGGCAGAGAGGGCTCTGGCCGTGGCAGCTGTGCGCATCCGGGGAGAAGCTCTTCGTGCATCCCTTTGTCTTCTCTGGGGTCCTGGGGTCGCCCCTTCAGGCTCATTTCTCCTCTGCTCCTACTTTATGCCTTGCAGTGTGTGAGAACTGCATGGAGGTTGATCTGACGGCCGTGGTCATGATTGTCGTAGTGGACGTCTGTGTCACCCTGGGCTTGTTGGTGTCGGTTTACTACTGGAGCAAGAATAGGAAAGCCAAGGCCAAGCCTGTGAAAAGAGGAACCGGAGCTGGGGGCAGGCCCAGGGGTAAGACCACGAAGCGGGGGCCAGAGCATTCCCACCAGTGGGCACCCAGCTGGGTCTGCGGCAAGGTCAGACAGCTTCTTTAGAACATTCCGAGATCCCCAGTCCTCTAAAAGACATGCCGAGGCTCTTTAATAGATGGTGGGCCTGTCAGTGCTCAGCAGGGATTAGAGCCTGTCCCTGAGCCAGGGGAAGCGGGGCTTTAGGGTGTTCCTTTTCCAAACAACAGGATGGCGTGAGCTAAGAAAAGTCACAAATTGAGGAGGGTAGTGTGAGACAGGAGGGAAGGAAGAAAAAAGAAACCAGGTACGGTGGCCCACCCATGTAATCCCAGCACTCTGGGAAGCAGAGGCAGGAGTTCGAGTCCAGCCTGAGCAATTTAGTGACTTAGTGAGACCCTGTCTCAAGGAATGGGTATAGCTCAGTGTGAAGACCCTAAATAAAAATAAAAAAGAAAAGAAAGCTGGTGTGCGGATAAGGGAGACGTAGAAGGGAAGACAAAGGGGCCTGCTGTCCTTGAGCTCAGGTTGCTGCAGCAGTCAGCCCCACAAGATTACAGGAGTAACATTCCTTTTACTTCTACCTTCCCTCCTCTACAGGACCAAACAAGGAGAGGCCGCCTCCTGTTCCCAACCCAGACTACGAGGTAATGAGTGGTAATGGGTGGAAAACTGGGCCAGGGTGCCCTCCTAGGGGGAAAGGAACTGATAAGGCTCTGCCCGCCACATCTCCAGATGCTTCTGAGCTCCCCACCCAGGGCTCCTAGGACAGCTCCCCCTGGGCCCAGCTCTGCCTCCTTCAGGGCAGAGATCATCGCAAAGCCTGCTTGGCTTGCCCAAGCATGGAGGGGAAGTTGGAGGGAATACACTCTTCCTTCCCTGGCCTACATGTTGGCTGGAACACAGCCATGGAAAACACCTCCTATGTAAACTCTTAACACAATACACTCAGAGCTGGCAGTCGTCCACCAGCAGGCACCGTGAAAAGACTTCGTTGCTACCTGGTAAACCCAACAGCTGTTTACTGAGTGCCAACAAAGCGTATGGTATTTACTTTCCCATCAGTGACTTCATTTGACCCTGACAAGAGCTCTCAGAGGCAAGTCTTTAGATTGATTCCCCTTTTTGAGCTACAAAAGCTGCTCCCAGAAGGTGACTGGCTCACGCCTCCTGCCCACCCATGCAAACCCAGGTCCTGCCTCCTTCCTCCAAGCCCAGAGTTTTTTCTACTGCACTGCAACTAGCCCTCCAGCACCTTTTCTGCACAGGCCTTCTTCCCTTCACCCTGCTAATCATCCTCCCTGTCCTGCCCCCAGCCCATCCGGAAAGGTCAACGGGACCTGTATTCTGGCCTGAATCAGAGAGGAGTCTAACGGTGGTGACAGGAGGACAATACCCAGACCTGGCCCTCCTGGGGCATCCTGCTGTTATTTGTTCCCTGGACAAGGCTTGGACCCCACAAAGGAATCATTCTTCAGCCTCGAGGTGGACTCACATCCTCCAGCCTCGTCCCTTGCTCACCGCTTCCCATCTTCCCAGTTGCTGTGTTGGTGGCGGCTGTCGCTGCTTGTTGTCCTCTGAAACAGCACAGCTAGTCAGGCCCTCTCGCCTGGCCCACCCTCTCGTCAGTATATTTATTTCTGTCATTCACCGCCCGATGACTTTCTTCCCCCTACCTGGACGCTGTTTCTGCCTTCGGTTCCCTCCTTTTCCCCCATGTAAGTTGCCCCTTATCCCTAATAATCCCACACAACTTTTTATTTTTCCAGGTTTCTCTTTTGCAGCTTTCTGTGGGGACAGAGAGGATAAATGTCAGCAGAGGCCTGGCCCCATTCATAGCTGAGCCCCTCCCTGTCTTCACTGTAGGCCACTGGATGGTCATTTGCCTCCCAGTAAAAGCACCAGACTCTCCTCCTCTGCTAGAGAAAAGCAATAAAATGCACTTGGCTGAGAGGGTTGCTGTCTTTCCTGGGAGGTTCTCAGAGGCTGTTTGTTTCCTAAGACAACTCAGGTTCTTCCCACCTTTAAATAAAATCAGTGCTTGCAGTATGATCCCAAGTGCAAGTACAGCCTGTTTTCGCAGCTGGTGGGGGCGTCACGTGAAGCTCTCCTTGGAGAGGAAATAGGTAAGAGAGAGAGGAAATTTAACTAACTCTTCTTGTAGGAAAACATCAAAGATGTCAGGCGAGGAGTGACTAATAGATCCCTGATGGAGCTGTTGGTTCATAAAACGGGTGAGACAGAAGCAGAGCCCATACAAGAGGTAGCAAAAGAGGTGGGTGAGGAAGAGGAGGTGTGAGGGAGGCTTTGGGAATAGGATACAAGTTTCCAGTCAAGAGCCAGGAGAAGCCGCTGAGCAGGACTGGAGGCCGTGGAGGAAGGGGTCTCCCAAGCAGGCCGCCCCTCCCTCCCCTGCAGGAGGCAGCTGCTGCAGCGAAGCAGACTGCGGTGAGGTTGTGCAGGATGTGGGCTGTGCAGGGAGAGTGCACAGCGGCAGCCTGGCGCCTGAAGGCCAGGGTGCAAAGACCTTGCTCTCCACCTCCCACGGCCCACACTTGGCTTGCAAGAGGAAGGCGGAACCCGAAGAAGCCATCTCAGCCCAGCTGCAGCCAGCAGGCTTGCTTCTCTCCTTCTCTGCCCCCAGAAACCTCCTGTTGACCACAAGGCTATTTATGTGCATGACCAGAGGGAGCAAGGCCTCTCAGGTAGTAGCCCTTCACTTTCTGTAGGCCTTCAGCCTTGGCCTTGTGGCCACAGCTTGCTACCTGTCACCCCTATTGAAATGTCACCTCTAAGCACCAACTGTTTTCCTCAGCAGTCTCAGTGATATTCTCATCACTAGCTGCAAGTCAGAGGCTGGTCTGAGGCTGGCAATTTTGTCCTACATGTATTTGCTTGTGCTCAGACAGGAGCAGATATGGCTCAGCGTGATAAAAACAAGAACCGCTAATATTTATTGAGCATTTACTCTGCTCTGGAAACTGTGCCTGGCCCATTAATGCATCTTTGTCTTTATGATGACTCCCCAAGACCGATGCTGTCATCCTCAGTTTGCAGATGAAGACAGTAAGGCTGAGAGAGCTTAGGTCTTTTGCAAAGTCAGAGTGAGGGACCAGGCTGGAATCAGCAGCCAAAGTTTGTCCAACATATTTGTTCAACATCTCTACACAGTACTGATTGTGGCCGTACAGAATGCTTTCCATCCCATCTAATGTCCTTGGAAAGATGCATGGAGAGGTGGAAGTGAAGTTGAAATCCTGGTAGCTTTTGTACTTTGGGGAGAGGCAGAGTAATGCAGGATAAAGGCAAATGATGAAGTAAGGAGGACAAAGAGCACGTCAGGGCTGTAGGTTGTAGATGGGGTGCAGAGGATAGGAGGGGTCCACACTACAGAGGGACCACAGGGCCGTGCCGAGATGCAGGGTGGAGGCAGGCATGGTGAAAAGAGGAGTATAGAATAAAGGAAAAGGTTAAAGGGACCAAAGAAAAGATTGATTTCTGCCGCTGACCAAGATGAAGTAACAAGAACTGCATCTATCCTCCTGCCTGAAAAAAAGATAGGTTGAAACAAATTTTAAAACATTTAATTCTGGGCAACAAGAGGAAATGGCCTCTAAGGATGGGAAATAACATAAACCCAAATATTGCTCAGCTTACAACCTAGAAACAGTTTCTAGGCTGTTGTGTAGGAAGAGAGAGCTAAACCGAGCCCCAGGATCGCCCTGAGGTCAACAGACAAAGGAGGAGACCAATGCCTCTACAGTTCGTGGAGAAGGCTCAAGAGGGCAGTGAGATGCCCAAGGAGAACTCCAGATATCTGAAGAGGGCCGCTCTCAGGTCCTCAGCTCACCTAGGCATATGCCTGGGTCCACAGGACACATCCCTTCCTTTTCTACTGCAAATTTTTACTTTAGCGTTAGAGTTGTGGCTGTGCCTCACAGTATCTTTCCCTGGGGAAACACAGGAACTAATCTATGAGTTTACCCACTGGTATAACAAACACAAGAAGTGTGTTTGTGTGCAAAGAGGCAAAATGGGATTTGGGTCCATTCTCACGGTCTACTGAACTGGTTTTTGCATATGTTTACCTCCGCATCTTAGAGGCTCCAAGAGATTCACACCACTCCGGGATTTGGTTTTATAAAAAAGGTTTTTTTGTTTGTTTGTTTGTTTTTGGCAGAGTAGCCCCATTCAGTACAATGGTATATGAAAAACTGGATTTGCAGGTTTTGGAAGAGGTCAAAAGTGAATCATCAGCTCACTCATGCACGGACCATGAGGATGATCCATCATGGTAAAATGCATGCTCTCTTAATGGAAGAGCAGTGGGTGGGTGGCAGTGATAGTGACCAGGAATTTGACGCTGGCCATGTGAGTCAAAGTTCCTGTGACAGTGAAGCAGAGCAAGAACCGAGTGACACAGGCAGAGGGAATGTAGACGGCCTTGATTCAGACAAGGAAAAAAACAGCAGTGTGAGTGCATATTTAGCCAGTAGAAATACTGAGAAATTGCCACGCAACCAAACTGAACAATCCAATGTTAGAACTAGATCCAAAATGACAGTGAAGAGGCTGGGGAGATAGCTCAGTGGCTTAAGCACCTGCCTGGCAAGCACAAGGTCCTGAGTTTGATCCCTGGTAAAAAAAAAAAAAAAAAAAAGAACCCCAGGCCCTGACTTTACCAAAATGACAGTGAGGTTTTAGCAGGGGTGAAACATATTGGACAGAATGCCAGCACTGCCATTCAATGTTGGAAACAATGTTGGTAATAGGTGAAATGCTACAAGATGGTACAAAACATAAAGGCTCAAACGCAAGTAAAATGTTCTGTATGCACCAACAGCCATATTCAAAAATGCATTTATTGGGGCCAGGGAGATGGCTCAATAGAATAATTGCTTGCCTGGTAAGCATAAGGGCCTGAGTTCAATCCCTGGTTCTGCAAAAAAAAAAAAAAAAAAAAATGCATTTATTATGACACTTCATAAGTGAGCTGTACTCAGCACAAATTTCTTATAGTGATCACAGGAATGTAAAAGGCCTAAGGAAAAGTGATGGGTCAAAATATGGCACAAAAATGTATGCCCTTGTAGATGTATGTGGATTTATGCACTTACCACGCTTTCGGTTTTGACATTTATCCTGGAACTCCACCATCAGGTCCTTATTTGTATAGTAATAAACCAAATGGTGTTGTGAGCAGACTTGTTGCTCCCCTCTCTCAAATGAATGGGAATGAGACATCTGACAACTGGTTTACCGGTTTCCAATTGATGTTACATTTGCTAACAAAGACAAGACAAGTTGACAGGCACAGGAAAAAAGCAGAAATTCCAAATGAAATGTTGCACTTTCAAAACTGAATTGTACAGTACACACTTTGGATTTCAAAACATATCGCATTGGCCTCTTACGTGGCAAAGAAAAACAAACTGGTACTGCTGATGTCAACATTTCACTATGATGGAAATATTGATAAGGAAACCTTGACAAAACGGAAGCTTGAGGTGGAAACTTTCAACAACAAACTCAAAGGTGGAGTAGATGTCTTTGATGAGTTATGCAGCAATTCTGATGTCTCTTGAAACACAAACCATTGGCCAATGGTTGTGTTTTACTCAATCCCAAATATGTGCAAAATAAGTAGTTTAAAAGTTTACAAAGACAACAAGTGAAAAATATGACAGATAAATTTTCCTAGAGGACTGGGACTGGAGAAATGAAATGTTTCTGCCCAGGAAATTATGGGAAAAAATTATGGAGCACCCTGGTGAGCTGACAGCTGAACAGGCAGGCACAGCACCATGAAGACCTACTACAGCAGGAAAACGAAAGGACGCCAACTGTGGCCTACAAGGAAATACAGGAAAACAAAACATGCGTGCTATCAGTCTGATGCTTGAGTGTGCAGCATGCAGTTGACATGTTAGAAGACCGCCTTGGGGGTGATGGTTGAAGCAAAGCTTCTTTTTATTGTAGAGTTCTATTGCTATTTTCCTTGTAGTTCATCTAGGAATTTATTTCTGATGTTATATTTTAGGTTTTGTAATCAAGTACATAACTGATGTGAAAATGTCAATGTCTATTCTAAGTGCACGATACATATTAAAAATTTAGTAATGTAGTTTATTGATTTATGATAGTTACTGTTCATTGCACATTGTGTAATATAAGAAAAATGTCCTGACAAAACAGGAAGACTGGGGCCTCTTTAGGCAGACTTAGGAAAACACAAGCACCACAGTTCGATTCCCAGCACCACATGCTGTGCCAGCTCCAGCCCCCGGGGCAAGCTGAGCCAGGCATGGTGGCATATGCCTGTAATCTCAGCGCTGGGAGGGCTGAAAACAGAAAGATTACCATGAGTCCAAGCTATGTAGTGGGACCCTGCAACAACCAAATACACACACACACACAAAAGGAAGACCACTGAGATGTCAAGCATGTCCTACAAAAGGCCAGAAAAGCAAAAGACACAGGCTATCAGTATAAGCAATGTTTGTATGACATATGCTATTGTTGGGCCACAGAGATAGCTCAGCAGTCTAAGCACCTGCCTGGCAAGCACAAGGGACCTGAGCTGGCCACCAAAACTGGTGGTGATGGCTGTTTTCCAGTGCTGGGGAGGTTGAGACAGGAAGATCACTATGAGTCCGAGCTGTAGAGCAAGACCTTGTACCAAATAAATACATAAATAAAACATTTTAAAAAGTATGCTGTTGTATGTGCAGACTGCCTTGGGCGTGATCATTGAAGTAAAGACTATTTTTTGTAGAGTGCTACTGGTATTCATTGTAGATCATACAGGAATTTATTTCTGATGTTCCTTTTTAGCCTTTGTACACTAAAAACCAGTTGATGCTGAAAATGTTGATTCTTTTTTATAAATAATAAATATTAGAAACTCAATACTTTATTTTTGTGGGTTTTTCCTATTAGAGACTCATTATTTAATATACTAAAACACATAAAATTAAAATTAATAATTCAGGGCTGGTGAGATGGCTCAGTGGTCTAAAGCACCTACTTAGAACAAGCTTAGCAAAGCACAGGGACCGCGGTTCAATCCCCCAGCACCACATGCCAGCCAGCCCCGCCCCCTGGTGGGCTGAGCTGGCCACACACACACACACACACACACACACACACAAATAAATAAATAAATAAAATTTAACAAAAAATAAAAATAAAATTAATAATTCATCAATAAAATATGTGCCTTGATGACAAAACTAGTCTTATGCTCCATTAGTAGTGAGTATACATATTTAAGACTGCAAGAAGATAAAGAAAAAATTCCCTGAAAGAATTGGAGGAATATTGGGCCTCACATGGGGTCAAAATCATTGCTATGCCCTCATAATTCAAAGGACACTGGAGGGGCCAGGGAGATGGCTCAGCGGGATAAGCATTTCCCTGGCAAGCACTAGGACCTGAGTTCAATCCCCAGTTCCACAAAAAAAAAGGACACTGGGAAGATCTGTGTGGTCATACAACAGAAGGGGACAAGTGATCTCTTTGGAGTCTCTATATGGGCACTAATCCCATTAATGAGAACCCCACTGTCATGGCATAATCATCTCTGAAAGGCCCCACTTTCTAATCCTATCACACTGGGATAAGGATTTCAATATTTGAATTTGGAGGCAACTCAAATATTCAGAATGCAATGGTTCTGAACATTTTTTGTGCTGTCGAATGTAACAACTTGGGTGAGACTGGCACATTCCTTAAAAAGCTGACTGTACATAAAATACATAACTTGAATACTCCTTTACCTATTAAGCAGGTTGAATCTGTAGTTTAAAACAGTCCTACAAAGAAGACTTCAAATTAAAATGACTTCATTTTAGAATCTACCAAATGTGAAAGGAAGAAATAATATCAATTCTATACTAAGTAATTCCTCTAGAAAATTGAAGAAGCAATATTTGCTAATTGTTCTATAGAGACAAACTTCTCTTGTGTTACTGTATCCTAGTTAATTGTATGTGTCAACCTGGGTATCCCATAGTATGCGGATATATTCATTCTGTCGTGAAATCAGGATCTGCTTATATCTCAAGGAGATAGTGGTCAGAATCTTCCAAGTCTCTGCCCAAGTGGATATCAGTTGTTTGGAAATGTGAGTCTAGGAAATGCCTACTGTGAATAAGATGTCCTGAAGTTCTTTAAATTACTTGTATATTCAGAAAGCAAAAAGTTTCCCAACTGTAGGATCTGGAAAGAGACAAAGGACATAAGAGAATAAGTGGCCTCTGCTCTTCCTCTAAACCAAAGGCTTAATGCTGCTTCAAAATCACTTGGGGACTCTACTCCTAAAGTAGGGCCCATGAATCTACATTTTTATTTAATAAATCTCCCAGGCTCCCAAACTTTGAGAACCATCACTAACCCCCTGGCTAGAGAAGACACCTAGTGAAAATTTCCCAAGCCTCTTTGCAATCTCAACACCAGCTTTCCAAGCAGGCAGAAAGCAATGAATCATTTTAATTGATGAAGATTTTCTGGCCCCAGTTTATCATGCAGAAGGCAGAGGCAAGCAGGAGCAGGTCCTGGGGAAAGAAGATACAATGGTACCTTCCAAAGAAGGAAAAGAAAGTATTTCGTGTCTATTGGCAGCTATTCAATGGGGACATAAAGTCACAGCCAGCCCTCTAGCAGCACTGAGACTTTGTAGCACACACCCTCAGAGTAGTGGTAAGAAACCAGTCTCTGAAACCCTTGATGTCTCTGCCACCCCCACTCATGACATCATGGAAACTTCTCTGTGGGAGGTTCCTAAACACAACAAGCCCTAGGGAGGCTTGTGATAGGAGTTTAGAGTCAACAAGTAGCAGGGGAGTGTGGAGGGGGCATATCACCCAGGAAACCCACTGGGCTGGAGACACCAGTGGGTCAGGACGTGGCAGGAGAAAGCCATCACACTGTCTGTATGGGGCACAAGGGAGGAGATGAAGGAAGGACTTAGGTGGGCAAGGTTCCGGCTGCCTCAGGGCAGCTCCTATACACTGCCCAAGAGCCTTGTGAAGCACAGGAACCAAATGAAACAAAGAGAACATCTTTATTGGCCAAGCAGGGAGGGCTGGCACAGTTCAGAATGTGCTTCTAGAAGCCACAGGCCTTGAGATCACTTGCTCCGATGCCACTTTTCTCCAAGACGGCTGTACTGAGCATCCTCATGATCCCGGAGGGGCTAAGATGAGAAAGGAGGCAGAGTCAGGACAGAAGTGTCCCCTGAAGAGTTCTAGCAGGTCCTAGAGACAAAAGCTCACACCTGCCCACTCCACCAGTGAGTGCCTCACTAACGCAGCATGCAACACCAAGCTCAGCCTCTCTGTCCCCACCCACACCCACTCACCTCCTGTTCCCGCCTCTTCCCTGCATGCTCACCTGATAAAGCTGGTCATTCTTCAATAGAGCTTGAGTGTCAGCAGCTGAAAGAGCCAGAAAAGAGAATTACAAGAGAGTAGGGAAGAAGGGATAATGAGATGTATGGCGATTGCTGCAGCCTGTGCCCTTCCACACTCTCGGGATTCTGCATGCACAGTGTGGGCATGCGAGTGCTTGCATATATA